TGCCCAACCTTCTCGCGGCGGGACTTGCCGCCCCGAAAGGGGCCACCAGCTTCCCCAGGCGCTGCGCCCCTGGATTTAGGTCGGGCATTGTCCAAAAACCGCCAAACATGGTCAAACATAGTAGAACAGTCGTCTCCATATTGTCTTTTGACCATTTGGGGATCTTCCTCCTGTAGAGGGACATGGACTTAACCCTGGATGTTGCTACGCTGGCTGCGTTCGGCGCGCCCGCGTCTGCTTCAGAGCCGCCGGATCGGGCGCGTCCTGGTGATTGCGTTCGTCGGCCAGGGCTCCTTGTTGCTGCAGTTGCTGATCATGGCCTCCCTTGTGTTGCTGCCGACTCCGGCCGAGACTGCCGCGCCGCGCCCGACATCTTTGTGGATGCGGGGCCCCAGGCAGTGGTCGAAGCGACTGGTCTTGTATCGTCTGTGGCGAGTACGTTGTACTTCGTGGTGGCATTTCGCATCGTGATCCGCCTGTCGAGGTGTGCTGTGAGCCCATGGTAGAGCTGCCCTCCAGCCAGCCGCCTTTTCGCAAATACGGTGTGGAGTTGGAAATGGATTCGTGTGCAGCATGTGGCTGTCGATTCGGATTCTGCCATTCGCGAGCCAGGCATCAGCACAGTGTGCGAAGAGATTGTTCTGTTGCTCTTTCGTAGGTGGGCGCGCTCAGGACGTCCTCCTGTTCATTCACCTCCACCGCGGCCTCCGCCCATTGACACTGATGCCCCGCATGCTCAACGAATTGTGGACTCCCGCTTCCCCCGTAGACGGCGAGGCGTGCGAAGCCTTTTTTTAGTCCAGAAGCTGGCAGCTACAGACTCTGGTCGTTGGTAGTTGGTAAGGCTGCTGGTTTTACTGCTTTCACTTTCCTGGCCTGTGACGTACTTGCCCCTGTGTCCTGCTCACGCCCACGTGCGCACGTGCGCCTTCCTCGCTGACCTGGTGCCCGTAGCCGAATATCTTCCGCTGTCCCGGTTGATCCTGCTTAGCTGCAGGCTGCTGCAGCGACGCCAGTTGCTGACAGGCGTTCTGCTTCATCAGCGTCGCAATCCATACAATCCCCTCCCCTCTCCCAGAGGGCGCAATCTCGAAGGCGAGGGCTCGGGAGAGGGCGCAACGAGGCACCCCCCTCCCTCATTGGGATGCTACCTCTCTGGAATTTGTGTCCCGTCTCCCCGCGACCTCAATGCTCAGCGGCGCCAACGCGGAAGCGCATCTCCCCCTCTCCCTCTTCCGGCCCCTCGCTGCGCCCTGGGACGCTCCCACTTGGGGTGCACAGAGCCGCTTTTTGCTGGCGCATTTCAGCAACCAGAGCCGACGTCCTAACGGACGGCAGGTGTTTGCCGTAGATTTATGATGTTCCAGCCTACTATAGCCTTGATCACCAAAAAGAGTTTCCGGCACCAATAAAGTACCGAAGCTCGAGGGTTTTCACGTGCCGGGTCCTGGGGGACGCTCGTCCGACATTGTTTTGACACTGTTTCGACACTTTTCCGGGTGCTCGAAATCATTTTTGGGATGTGGTTCTTAGGTGCGATGGGAGCGGCATAACCGTAGCCGGGGCCAGAAGATCGCGTCGCATCGCCAATCTGCAGCCCGATGTTCTCCATCCCAGCGTCGCCGATCCCCACTTGCGCGCCTCCAGTGTCGTATGGGAGGTGGCCTCTGGGTTGTCCTGTCCTCCTGCTTCTCCTGCTGCTGCTGCTGCTGCTACTTCTCCCGCTCCTTTTCCTGCTCCTGCTGCTCAGTCTTCTTCCTCCTCCTCCTCCCTTCCCACCCTCATCCCTCCACATCCTCATCCCCCTCATCCGTCGTCACCGTTCGTCATCATGCGTCTTGTCGTCTTCTGTCCGTCGCGCATTCTTGGCCTTCTAGCTCGGCGAGGATGCCGTTGGCGATGCCATCGAGGCATCGAGGTCCAGCCCTCCGACCCAGGCAGGCTGCGCCTCTGGCCCGCAGGGCTAGGGACGCAGCCGCATTGGCAGCCAAGCAGCAACGCACGGGCAAGAAGTGCAGGGGCGAGTTCGCGAAGTTGCTCCACTCCATCGGCCGCTTGGTGCTCGCGCAGACCTACGTCGTGACAGATCTTCGGGTGGTTGCGCACGTCACGTTCACGCTCCCCCCGTCGCGGTAATGCAGGCGGCGGGAAAGAGGGCAGCAAGACCATGTGCACCGCCAACGCGAGCCAGGACCAGTACAAGGCCCGTGGCCTGCCGCACATTCACGTGTCGTCGGGCCGTTTGTGCCGACACGCGGCTTTACGTTTTCGGCAGGGCGCCTCGGCCATCAGGACAAATTGCAGCTCAAACTCAAGGTCTGCCGTGGGCTTGCTGTGGTGCCGGCGTCGTCCACTTGGGCGCGTCGAGAGCAAAAGCGCAGTGACACGTGTCCTTGGCGGCAATCCCGAGATGGCGCGGTGGAGCGCGCTGGGGCCGAGGGGCAGTGCAAGGACGCCGAGAAGGCCAATGTCTTCGAGGCTCAGCAGGCTCGGGCGACCAGGTTCTCGTCGATCGGCATCGGGCCGGTGGTGGAGGTGGTGTTCTGATGAATGTGCCGCCGCGCCGTGTGTCCCAACCCGCGGCCTTACGCCTCGGGGAGGGTGCCGCGGGCACCAGGGCAAGCGCCCGCTCGGGCGCAAGGTTCGCCGTGGGATTTGCAGCGGTGCCGCTGCGTCTTCTTGGGCGCGGGGCGCCGGGTTTGCCGTGGGTTTGCTTTGGTGTTGGCGTCGTCCACTTCGTCGAGGGCAAACCGCGAGAGCAGCAGTGCTTGCCCATCACGGTTTTCAACACGACCTCGAAGTTGGCCTCGCCCATTTTCCATTCGCCAGTTCACGTCGAACGCGATGGCTCAGATGCGACGGTGGTTTCGCGGTCCACGCCTCGGCACCGAAGGGCCCGCAGAAGCAGGACATCGCCAGGGCGGTGAACCATGCGAAGTGCACCATCTTACATCTCGAACTCGCGAAGGGCAGCTTGGTTCGATCATCGGAGTTGGGAGATTGCGGTATTATCACTGTGGACACGGCAGCGAAGGTTCGCGCAGGCGCTTGGCAATTTTGCAGTCATGCGGATGTTAGTCTGCCTGCTCGCCCGCTAATCTCTTGACTTGGTCGCGGCCGAGGCGCTCAAGGTAAACGTGGGGTCGCGGGCGCGGTGAAGCGAGAGGCTCCTCTCGTGCCTGAGTGGGCGCCTCGCGTAGAGCTGATTGCGTTACAGGTGGTGTTCGCGGGCCTGTGTCCCGAATGGTCTCGCGGGCCCGCGAGGCACGATACGTTTCCCCAACCATCCTGTGGTATTGGGTCTTCGTTTTGAAGAGACAGCGCCCCTCGTTCTCCCTCCTCCCGCTGCGCCCTCCTCTTCTTCCCTCCTCCCATCCCTGCTTCCGGCCTCCGCACCAGCCATGTCGGCACACCCCTTACACGCTTCGTGGCCCCGTAGGGAGCTTCACCGAAGGCCCCAGTGGCTGCGTTCGCATGCGCCCTCCGCACCCATTTCGGCACACCCCTCACATGTTTCGCGGCCCCATGGCAGCTCCGCCGAGGGCTCCAGTGGCTGCGTTCGCATGCGCCCGCCGCACCCATGTCGGCACATTTCTCGCACGTTGCGTGGCCCCGTAGGGAGCTCCACCGAGGGCTCCAATGGCTGCGTTCGCACGCGCCCACCGCACCCAATTCGGCACACACCTCACACGCTCCCTGGCCCCACAGGGAGCTCCACCGAGGGCCACAGTGGCTGCGTTCGCATGCGCCCGCCGCGCGTGCTTCAGCACATCCCTCACACGTTTCGTGGCACCATAGGGAGTTTCGCCGAAAGCCTTTGTGGCTGCGTTCGCGTGCGCCCGCCGCACCCGTTCCGGCACACCCCTCACACGCTTCGTGGCCCCATAGGGAGCTCCACAGAAAGCCCCAGTGGCTGCGTTCGCATGCGCCCACCGCACCAATTTCGGCACACCCCTCACATGTTTCGCGGCACCATAGGGAGCTCCGCCGAAGGCCGCAATGGCTGCGTTCGCATGCGCCCACCGCACCCATTTCGGCACACCCCTTACACGCTTCGTGGCCCCACAGGGAGCTCCACCGAGGGCCCCAGAGGCTGCGTTCGCATGCGCCCGCCGTATCCACGTCGGCACACCCCTTACACGTTGCGTAGCCCCGTAGGGAGCCCCACCGTAGGCCCCAGTGCTGCATGCGCATGCGCCTGCCGCACCCATTTCGGCACATCCCTCATACGCTTTGTGGCCACATAGGGAGTTCCTCCGAAGGCTACAGTGGCTGCGTTCGTATGCGCCCGCCGCACCCATTTCGGCACACACCTCACACGCTTTGTGTCCCCGTAGGGAGCTCCACCGCAGGCCCCAGTGGCTGCGTTCGCATACGCCCGCCGCGCGCATTTCGGCACACCTCTCACACGTTCTGTGGCCTCCAAGGCAGCTCCACCGAAGGCCACAGTTTCTGCGTTCGCATGCGCCCTCCGCACCCATGTCGGCACATCTCTTACACGTTGCGTGGCCCCGTAGGGAGCTCCACCGAGGGCTCCAATGTCTGCGTTCGCACGCGCCCGCCGCACCCAATTCGGCACACCCCTTAAATGCTTCCTGGCCCCATAGGGAGCTCCACCGATGGCTCCAATGGCTGCATGCGCATGCGCCCGCCGCACCCATTTCGGCACACCCATCACATGCTTCGCGGCCCCATAGCAGCTCCGCCGAGGGCTCCAGTGGCTGCGTTCGCATGCGCCCGCCGCGCCTATGTCAGCACATCTCTTGCACGTATCGTGGCCCCATGAAGAGCTCCACCGAAGACGATATTCACAGTTGCATTTCCAGCTCACCGTCTTCCCTCCCTCCTCACCCTCTCTGTCCTCTCTTGCCTCCCGTCTTTCGAGACGGTCGGGTTCAGCTCAGGCCGCCCCCGCTGACGTGAGGCTGCAGCTCACATGGCCCGCGCCAGGAAAAGAGGAGGGGCGCGGGAGAGAGAGATCCGGCCTCCCCGCTCCCGAGGTTACAACGCTGTCATCCACGCCTGCGTCTCCGCGGGCAGCGTCGCGGGAGCCGCTGGGCGCGCCCGGCGGCAACCCAAGCAGGCAGGAGGAAGAGGAGGAGGAGGACGAGGAGGAGGAGGAGGATGAGGAGGAAGATGAAGAGGAGGAGGAGGCAGCTCGACTGCGCCCGAGAGAGTGGGGCGGAGGCGAGTGCTCCAGTGAGTCTGGCGACCGCTAAAGGGCGATGGCGTGTGTGAAGAGGCCCTGCTCCGTGCGCCTCCGCGAGCCGCCGCCCTCTCGTCCCAGCCTTGTGGGTGAGCAACTGAACACGCTCCGAACATTCATCATGCTGGAAACCGTAGAAACCGTACGAGGAGGACCAGTGTAACCCCAAGACCCATGAACGATATTGCAATAAGCCCTCCTTCTAGGTTCCTTCTTCATCGGCCCCTACACGAGCTCATTTTCAATGGGGGAAGCACCACGTTGGACGACAACCGTTTGACAATCCGGAGGTGTGCCAGAACAACATTCCTGGGGTATCAACCCCGCGAATCACCGTTACTGTTGCGTTTCGACGATCCTGAACCGTGCCAGAACACCGTTCTTGGGGCTTCAGCACCGCGAATCAACGATCTCGTTGCGCCCTGAGATTCCGAGATCATGCCGAAACACCATTTCTGGCACGTTAAGCATGAGAACACCCGAAACCCCTTCAAACTATTACGACGAATGTGCGCGGTGCTAAGTTGAGAGCCACATCCTGGAAAGAGACCACCCTCCATCCATGAAGCTCTTGCAAACGAGTAAGACGAATGTGCGCGGCGCTAAGGCGAGAGCCACATTTTGAAAAGGAGCTGCCCTCCATCTGTGGGGCCTTGCAAACTTTTAAGACGAATGTACGCGGCGCCAAGGCGGGAGCCTCATTCTGGAAAGGAGCAGCCCTCCATCCGTGATGCTCTTGCAAAAGTGTGACGGATGTGCGCGGCGCTACGGCGAGAACCACATGTTGAAAATGGGCCGGCCTCCATCTGTGAGACCTTGCCAGCTGTTTTAAAGAACGCGCGCGGCGCTAAGGCGAGAGCTACATTTCGAAACGTTGCCGCCGTCCAGTCGTGAAACTCTATACGGATAAGGGATGGAGGAGGAGGAGGCGGAGGAGGAGGAGGAAGAGGAGGAGGCGGGGGAGGAGGAGGAGGAGGAGGAGGAGGAGGACGAGGAGGAGGAGAAACACCGAGTGTGTGCTGTCTTGTTCTGGCTCTCCTCTGGCCGCTGGAGACTCGTGCAGGCCTCTGGGGACCCGTGCAGGGCGTCGGAGACCCCTGGGGGGGGGGGCCCTCGGAGAGTACAGCAGGGTCGAGGTTCGAAGGACCCATCGGTCGATGAAAGTAGGTATTTTTGGATTCCCAGAGGAGGAGGTATCCATACCTCTGCCCTTCCCCCTGTTTCCTTTTTTACTGGCCTCCTTGGAGGCCCTCGTCGCCAACGCTGGATTCGCCTCGAAATGCTGGTCAGAACGCACCCCGGGAGAGGTCCGAGGGAATAGCGGTACCGGTACCTTTTGGTTTCCTCGTTTGTGGGTTCCCAGAGCCCAATCTTTTTCAAGTGCCTTCCTACTTCAAGGATCGAGTGGCTTCACCTTTTCCGTCCTCCCGAGGGGATGGACGGAACCCAGTCTACGTTCAACGCCTTCTTGCTTCATGTTTCTACCTACTTCTTCCGACCGATGGGTACGGACATGTTGTAACGCCCGCGTGGCCACGGCTGGATCCGCATCGAAATTCTGCCCATAACTCGCCGCAGGAGAGTTCCAGGAGTCATTTTTTCGCGGAGGCCAAATCGGGACAGCAGAAGGATCGGGCCGAACGAGAGGGTAGGACAGAGAAGGGGGGGGTACGAAGTCTGCTGCATGCAGCTGGTTTCGGCCTCGCCGCCGGGCCCATTCCTTGATAATTGTGTGCTGCCGAGATTAATCCCACAGGGATAATAAAGTTCGGGGTCGCGGGGGGATTATAAATGTTGCCTACCGGAGGCCAGCATGTGGGAGGAGAAAGAGATGATGTTAAGAGGACCGAAAGCCGAGGGTCGATGATCGAAAATCGAAGTCCGAGGATCGAGGATCGAGATCCCAGAGTCGAGGATCGAGAGGAAGACAGATAGAGACAGAGACAGACATATACAGATAGTTCGACAAAGAGAGAGAGGGAGAGAAGTAGAGAAAGATAGACAGACAGAAGGAGAAAGACAGAGAGGAGGAGGAGGAGGAGGAGGAGGAGGAGGAGAAAAGCCAAAGCTCCAAACCTATTACATTTAATTTGTAAACAAACTACGGAAATTCAGATTTACATCTGCTCGTGTAGGGTGCCTCATGTGCCTCGGTTTTCGTGGATAGTAAACCACAGCGATAAAAAAAATCAGGGGGCCAGGGGGATAAGGAGAAAGACAGAGAGAGAGACAGAGACAAAGTGCGAGAGAGAGAGAGAAAGATAGAGAGATATAGAGAGAGAAGAAAAAAGAAGGCGAGAGAGGAGGAGGAGGAGGAGGAGGAGGAGGAGGAGGAGGAGGAGGAGGAGGAGGAAGTCTCTCTCATCGACAAGTCTCTCGCTTCGCTTGAGACATCCTCGAAGAATTATTGGTTCCGCTTGAGACATCCTTGAAGAACTGATCGTTTCGCTTGAGGCTGCCTCCAAAAATTGTTGGTTTCGCTTGAGACATCCTCGACAACGTCTTCACTTCGTTGGATGTTGCCATCTCAACATGAGAAGGAAAATCACCTCGATGGTGAGCTCTTCACAGTGCTAAAAAAGTTCGGCCTCCGCGCCCCGCGTCCCTGACCAAACTCTTATTGGCCGTGGATAATCAACTCAAATCTGGAAAGGGGGGGTCCTGTTTTTTACCATCGGCACAAGCTTATATGGGTGCCTCCCGGCGCCAGACGGCGCCAGGAAGACCAGCTACGTGAGCTGAATCTCTACCTTTCTTTTGGCCGTCCTACCCTGTCCCCCCCCCCCGACAGGAGCAGGACGGTCTTGCAAAGGTTCTTTGAAGGTGCTCGATGTTTCCGGCGGCGGTCGGAGGTCCCATAGACAGGGTCTTCGGAGGTCCCCGAAAGGTCTACGTGATACGGAAGATGTCGAGGCATACGGAAGGAGGAGGAGGAGGAGGAGGAGGAGGAGGGAGGTTGAGGGGAAGGTTGAAGTCGGGCCTGTCCCTCTACAGGAGGAATCTTCAAAAATAGTCACAAAATAGTCTGGGAACGTTTTTTGGCGATGTTTGTTTTTCTTGGAATATGTTTGGGGTATTTTGAATTTTTCCTCCAAAACCGGCCTGCAGGGGGACAGGCCCGACCCAAGGCAAGGAGGGGGAGCAGTGCAAAGCCAAGTCTCACCAACGATGGTGCAGCCACCCCCCCGTCGAAGCTCCCTCTTCATGGGCCAGCCCCTAGCTGCTACAAGGAGTCATTTCCGCTATGGGGAAGTGCCCCGCTTGGGGGGCGACCGTCTCAGAATCCTGAAGCGTGCCAGAACATCACGCTCGGGACCTCAACGCCACGAGGATGAGGAAAAGGAGGAGGGAGGAGAACCATGCGGATTGGCAGCGATTTCGTGTTCTCCATGGTGCCTGGAGGATGTGACTTCTCGTGGGCCGTCTGGCAAGGATGAGCGGATCGAGCAGTTGAGGGAGAGGAGGAGGAGGAGGGTGATCGAGGCTCGAGGCTTCTGGGTGCTTTTGGTCTGCAGGCCTCACGAGGCCTGCGTGGGGGGAGGGGGCCCTCCCCGCCCCCTCTCACCCGCCTGCCCTCTTCGTTCGTTCCGTGCGGCTTGGAACGTGCACGTCCATGGAGGAAGCCATGCACCGGCAAGGAAGTTCTCCCCTTCCCTCGGGAGCCTTGAGACGGGGGTCAATGCAAACGGGGGTCAGCCAGAGCACCCGATCTTGCAGGATCCTGCAGGGCCAGGGTCGCATTGACCTTGGCTTGGGTGCAGGACCGTATCCTGCAGGATCCTTCGCATTGACCCGGGCTCGGGTGCAGGATTTTGCAGGATTCTGCTGGGACTGGCGGACCCAGGTCTGGATTGACCCGGGTCAGACGATCCCCGATTCCCCTTCGGAGGAGAGGCGTCTGCTCCAGAGATGCCCCCCTCCACGCCCTTCCCCTCCCCTCCCGCCCGTCGCACGGGGGGCGGGCCCTGGGGTCCAGAGGTCCAGAGGGGCCCTGGCCGAAGGCACGAGGGCAGCCCTGCCCTCCCGGCTGCCCCACGGGTTCGGCCCCGCTCTGGAGTGGAGGGTTTCTCCTCCTCCTCCTCCTCCCTCCCTCCCTCCTCCTCCTCCACCTCCTCCTCCTCCTCCTCCTCCTCCTCCTCCTCCTCCTCCTCCTCCTCCTCCTCCTCCTCCTCCTCCCTCCTCCTTCCTCCCTCCTCCTCCTCCTCCTCCTCCTCCTCATCCTCCTCCTCATCCTTCTCCTCCTTCGCCTCCTCCTCGGGTCGCCTACGGCCCCAGGGGAAAGCGTTCACGTTTGGGAAGCTGGCGTGGGCGTTTCTGTGAGCTCTCTTCCCGCGCCTCAGGCCCCGGGAGGACGGAAGGAACATCCCTTCCCACAATTGTCCGCGAGCGAGGCGCCGGATGCGCCACGCCTCGCGGCAACGCTGCCGGGTAGATAGGCATGGGTCTAGGCCTCGCAGATGGGGTCGGAGCAGATGGGGTCGGAAGATCGCGCCGTACCGTCGATGCATCGGCGATGCGGCTCGATGTGGAGCCCAATTTTCTCCGCGCTGGCGTCACCGATGCACCGCCGATATCGCCGATGCATCGGGGATGTATCGCCGGTGTATCGGCGATGCGGCGCGGTCGTCCGACCCCACCTCCTCCGACCCTGTTTGGGAGGCCTCTAATGGGGAGTCGGGGCCTTTCGTGGGCGATCTTACGGTCCTCTGGGGGCCTTGGCGGGCCTCTCGGGGCTTCTTGTAGTTCTCACTGGTGCGTAGTGGGTCTCTCGTCGGACCCGCGTCAGCAGCTTTGGGGCGCCTCTTCACTCTTGCGGTGGACCTCTTGAGGCTATACGTTGGGCCCGTCGTGGGCCGTCTCGGAGCCCCCTTGGGCTGTCTCGTGGCCGTCTGTGGGTCGCCGTAGGCTCAGCTCGAGCGAACTCGAGGCCGTCTTGGGGCCATGGGGGGGGCGGGGGGCAACCGGCCGCCTTGGGCCTTGGGCTCATCTATTGGGACCGTCGTGGCCCTCTGGGGGCCACTCTGGGCTTGTCTTGGGCCATGTGGAGTCGTTTTGGGCCCCTCTCGGACTAGAAGTAACAAAAGCATTGGCACCTTGTAGTTTGCTGTGTCCCCTGCAGGCGCAGGAGGGATGCCGCAAAAGCAAAAGTTCGCAAGATGAGGTGTGGCTCGCGGGGGGAAGGAGGGGGGCAATGCTTATAAAAACCATTATTCGGGGGATCAGATGTTGCGGGGGGGGATGGGTGCGGCTTTCTCGTTTGCGGTCGGCGTCGAATCCGGTTCGCGATATATCTATCGATCTAACGGTCTCGATATGTACATGCCGCATGCCGATCTCCCTATAGGGCGATGGGTGCAGCTTTCGGTTTTCGATCGTCGTCGGATCGGGTTCGCGATCTATCTCTCGATCTAATGGTCTCGGTATTACTATGTCTATCCCCCTATAGGTCTTACCAGGTATCCACCGATGCTGCTATCGAATAGAACTGGGGCGACCTCACTTAGGGGAAGGCTTCCTAAACGGTAGTGCTTGACATTGGATTGCCCTGTTTGGCTTTGGGTTGCATTGGTTGGCATTGCATGGCATTGCATGGCATTGCGTTGCATTGCTTGGCAATGCTTTGCATTGCGTGGCGTGTCGTTGTTCGGCATCGCTTGACGTTGCCTTGCGTTCCTCGGCATTGGTGGCCATAACTTGACATTGCTGGGCATCGTGTGGCATTGCTTGGCATTGCACGGAACCCCGAGGAAAGCCGTTGCAAAAAGCAGTATCAAGCAATCCCGAGGAACGTTTTTGGCAAAGCAACATTGAGGGGAATTCCAAGGATATCGGCCCTGCTGTTCAATTATGGATGGCTCTCGCCATCAACTTATCTATCGATCTCACAAGCCATCTTCCAGTTCAATATCGATGTACTTATTGACGGGGCAACCACGGGATAACCACAAAACCGACACGCACCAACCACGGGACAACCTCGGGACAGTTACAGGAAAACCACGGGACAACCACGGGACACCGATCCAATTATTTACCAGTGCTGCTACCAATGTACCAACCTGGCTAATCGGCCAACGCCACGGTCTGTTTGCATCAACGTTACTCGACCGATCTCATTCTCAATATATCGATCGGTCTCGTTACTCTTCCAGTGATCTCATTATCAACATACCAATGGATCTCTATCTATCGGCTACACTGGCTTTCTACAGACGTGGCAACCGCAGGGCAACCACCGGACAGCCACTGGACATCCACGGGACATCCACGGGACGACCACGTGACAACCACGGCAAGCCCATGGGACAGTCACGAGACAACCACGGGACAACCACGGGTCATCCACGAGACAACCACAGCTTATCCACTGCACAAACCACGAGATATCCACGGGGCAACCACGAGACAACCACGGGCCAGCCACTGGACAATCGTGGGACAACCTTGGACACGCCACGGGACAACCACAGGATGAATTACCACGGGACACACGCGGGACAACCCAGGGAACGCCACGGTTAGCTCGATTTGTTTGGGTTCCATTTGGGCCCACCCAGGGCCAGGGCAGGATTATTCTCGCCATCATTGCGTGGCTTCGCCTAAGTAGCTCACACGCACGACACGAACCGACAGCGAAACCGATTGCCCGGCTGGGGGCATCCGTTGCACTCCAGTGTCAGACAGTCAGTTCTTAATTCTAATAATGTGGTGTTAAATGTATTCAGTAACGATTCGGCTTGGCCCAGTCACCAGCCTTGGTCTGCTCTTGGCACCACTGTCAGGCCGCATAGGCACGGTTGTACTGCGACACCGATGTTTCCGCTTCTCCTCTCTAACTTCCCATCGCCCTCCTACATATTTTTGTCCTCCGCATTCACCCTTCATTCTTCCTTCTCCTCCTTCCTCATGCTCTTCCCCCTCATTTGCAAGAGCAGGGTTTGGAACAGGAGGAAGAGGTGAAGGAGCAGGAGCAGCAGCATGACGAGAAGAGAAGAGGAGGATACGGAGGCGGAAGGAGAGGAAGAGGAGCGAAAGAGGAGGAGGTTAGGAGGACGACGATGAGAAGTAATTTGTCGGCCCCAGGTGGATCGACCGCATGTCGACGCTTGGCGTGATGCCAACAGCCACAAGCTACAGCGCGCTGATGGACCCTCTGGCCGAGGGCATAGCTTGCTGGTCCTGGTCGAAGCACCTGTCACCAGAGTTCCAGCCACCCTATTGGCTGCCCACGCTCATGTGAAACGATGGCGATGTCAAGGACACGGTTCGGCATTTTTTGATGATGTATGTTTGTTCCGCTTTTTGTGTGGTGGTTGCATGGAGTTGCCATGGCACCCGAGGATGCAATTTGATCTTCATGGTCGCCGTCTCATTTTTTGTCTTCTTTGTACGGTGCCCCGTGTCGGTATATGCCGACGTCGCTCGCGACCCCTGTTCTGGCCAGCAGCCGTGGGGGACTGGAACCACAGACGAATGATAAAAAACGCGCAGGGTCGGGGAGAGAACCCACCTTCCTCTGGTTGGCTTCTCGCTTAGAACATTGAACCTGGTGGCGCGTTTCTTCCTTCCTCCCGCATCCGGTTTCCCTGCCTCTTCTCTCTTTCCGCTCCTTCTCTCGCTGCCTGGAGAGCTGCCTCCTGTGTGCTGTGTCTCCAATTTGAATATCGCCGGCGCAGGCCGAAGCACTCGGGGATGCCAACGGTACACCAGCACAGGCCCAGGGCCAGGCAGGCCAGCCCTGGGCCGAGGAGGGCCCCGGCCACGAGCGGTGTTGGTAGACGGGTGGCGGCGTTCGCCCTCCGAACGTTGATTACGTCGCTGATCGACGTATGCTGCCCACACTCGCTATGGCCTCCAATCCTGGACTTCCGAAAACGGATGCAGGGTCCGGACAGCGCATGCGGCCCCAGGCGTCAGGCGCTTCACCCGTGCTCCCACTCCGCCCCCCTAGTGGGGCTGCTCTGCGGCGCGGCCCGGGGGGACGGCGGAGAGGGCGGGCCTTCCCAGAAGGCTCAGAGGGCCTCCCGCCTTCTGGGGGGGGGGGCCGCAGACGTGGAGGGCTCCCTCTCACCCTGGGCCTCCTTAGGCGGGGTCGGAGCTGGTGGGGTCGGAGGATCGCGCCGCATCGACGATGCATCGCCGATGCGGCTAGATGCGGAGCCCGATTTGCTTCACGTCGACGTCGCCGATGCATCGCCGACGTCGACGATGTGTCGCCGGTGCATTCCCGATGCATCGCCGATGCATCGGCGATGCGGCGAGATCCTCCGACCCCATCCCTACACGGACCCCATCTAGGAGGCCTCTACTCACGTCCCCTCATGTGTGAACCACATATCCGTATCCGCGGCCTCGCGGGCTGGGCCCCTGGGCCGCGACGCCGCGGATACGTTGCGTTTGTTGTCGCGGATGCCCCTCCCCCCTTTCCTATAACAGAATGCCCCTCCCCCCCCAGTGCGCTCCGTGCACTGCCGCCGTGCGCACGGCGGGGGGGAGGCGTTACATGATACCTTCCCTGGCCCCTCCCCCCCCAATAATGCTCACTATCGCCGAACGTAAAGAAACGCGCTCCGGGATCGCGCCCTGGTCCAGACCGCCAGGGCTCGACTACGGATCTGTTCGCCGCTCGTGCATGGCGGGAGGTCTCTATCACCCTCCGATGTTCACTCACCGCGCGAGAGTAGAGCCTTCCCAGATGGGGTCGGAGCAGATGGGGTCGGAGGATCGCGCCGCATGGTCGATGCATCACCGATGCAACCGCGACGTCCCGGCGATGCAGTCGAGAACATCGGGCTCTGCATCGAGCCCTCTCGGCGCGCCGCCGAGTTGGGGCGCGAGCGGGAGTCGCGGACAGCACCGATCGCCCGCAACGACCGCCCGCTGGCTGGGCCCGCCACGTACCTGGCCCGGGAGCCCTGCGGCTTGGAGCTGGCTGGGGGTCTGAGGTGCCCAGCACTGGTTCCCGCCAGCAGGAAGGGGAGGGAGGGGGAAGATGTTATGCTGGGCCGATTGTCCACCACCACTACCATATGTGCGAGAGGGAGGAGGAGGAGGAGGAGGAGGAGGAGGAGGAGGACGAGGACCTCCACGTCCTCTATTCTCCCCCGTTCTACCTATGGTAGTGGTGGTGGAGAATTGGCTCATAAGATTTGAGGTTTTGGGTTCGGGGAGTTTTTCCCCCATTTTTCGGCTTCCGGTGGTAGGACTGCACCAGATTGACCGTGGGAGGGAGGGGTTCAGGGTTGGAGCGGATTTGCTTTTATCCCTTTGCCCGTTCCCTGGGGGAGAAAAATCGCCTACAAGGATGGGCTCCTCCTCGGCAGCTGCACGCCGAGTGCTGCGGTGACTGCCCAAGCACAGCGCACTGAGAAGCCGCCTGCTCTCCGGAGTCTCACGGCCACCTCAGCAAAGCCCTTCTTGACAGATCTTCCCCGTGGTCCCTTCGGCAAAGACCCTGGGGCCGCCTCCAACCTGCGGCCGTCGAGGCGAAGAGCGGCGATCTCGCGCAGCTGGAGGTCTGGCTGCGGCGGATGGTCGACGCGGGCGTGGAGCTCGCGGGGTGGGACGCTCGCCAGTACGACGGAGATGGGTACGGAAGGGGCAGGTGCGAAACCCGATAACAGATCTCTGGGCCTCCTTAGGCGGAGTCGGAGCTGGTGGGGTCGGAGGATCGCGCCGCATCGCCGATGCATCGCCGATGCGGCTGGATGTGCAGCCCAATTTGCTTCACGTCGACGTCGCCGAAGCATCGCCGACGTCGACGATACATCGCCAGTGCATCGCCGATGCATCGCCGATGCATCGGCGATGCGGCGCGATCCTCCGACCCCATCTACTCGGACCCCATCTAGGAGGCCTCTAATATCTGGCTCATCTTGAGCAGGGCACGCTGTCGGTGTCGCCGCGAACGTTGCCCCCTCGAGACCCAAGCGCCTCCCGCCCGACAGTGGCCGCTGCTGCTTTTGGGCAGCACACGTGGGTTTCGGGCACCGTGGCCATTTTCAGGCGATCGCAAACATGGATCAAGGGGGCGTGGATTAGCGGCGGGTCCCTTTTCCATGGGAAATCGCGGATTTCCGCCGCCGAGCGAGGCGGCACCGGCTGCATTTTGGAGAGGGCACCTCCCCCGATCCATGGATTTGGCGACCGCGCGCCAAATCCATGGATCGCTAATCCATGTTTGCGCGCCTCCGATTTTTACTCGTGCCCATTTCAATCGTGCCCCGATGGTGCAGCAGCGCCGATCCTGCTGAGGCCAGTCTTGGGCCCAGGGTCCGAGATGTGACACCCACCCCCAGGCGCGTACGTTTTCGGGCGGATTGTATCATTGTGCAAGTCGTATTTCGGTCTCCTCTGCCTTTGCAGAGCGACATGCGTTTTCGTTGTTCCCGCGCGTTGCATCACACGAGTGCGTTCTTTCCCGTCTTTCCAGAACTTTTCGGAGTAATTACCTGGGCGCTCCAGGCGGAGCAGTTCACGACAAACCTCCAGCGTCCGCGCCGCCGTCGAAATCACCCTTCCGCGGGTTGGGTACATTCTTGGGTGGGAAGTAAAGTCAGATGTTTCTCGTGGCATAATTTTGCCCCACCCACGCGGCGCCACAATAACTATATCGCGTTGGCCGGCGCTTTCGGGGCCCCTCCCGCAGACGTCCCAACAAGTTGCAGGGGAGGGCAAGCGAGGGAGGGAGGGTAGAGGGGAGGGCGGGAGGAGGGCGCAGGGTGTCGTCGGGCCTTTCCCATGGCTCATTCAAGGGGCCTCTTGGGCGCCTAGAGCTGATGACAGTTTCGATTTTCGAAACAAGGACCCAGCCATGTTCAGCGTCTGGGGCCCCAGGGGGGGTGGGGTACAATTAGCCGGCCATCACGAGATGCAGGCATCGGCAAGTCGATGTCCATGCCAGGCTGCCAGGGGCGTTTGTTGTTTGCAGGCCCAGTTGCTTGGAGTCACATGTATGAACAGTGGAAGGAGCAGAATAGCAAGGATCTTGGACGGTGACAGGATATTTGGCTCAATAGCGCGCTCAGAGGACAAACATATCATTTCGCTAATGACGTGCGATGTGGATATCATAACGATTTTGACGCGAGCTGGCCGCGGGAGGCGGCAGCTGCTCTGTTGCGTTTGGTTGCGGCCCGGGGCCGGTTCAGCGCAGCCGCTCCCAGACCAGAGGTCGGGAACGGTGCTCAAGGGGCACACATAGGAGCTTGAGAGACGGGGGTTAATGCAGACGGGGGTCAGCCAGGGCACCGGATCCTGCAGGATCCTGCGAAGACCCCGTCTGGCTGACCCGGATTAGCGAGCCGCTCGTGGCCGCGAGGCGGCCGCGCACCCGGGTCAGATTGACCCGGGTTAGCAGATCCCCGAACAAATTTTCCCTGGAGGTCTGGGGCAGGTCCCGAGGTCGATCCCCTGTCCCCTTGGAGCAAGGCCCGAAGAGACGCGCAGGGAGCCACATTCATAACTAGTGCAATGAGCAGAGTAGCAAGGGATGCTTGACAGTGACAAACGCCAGAACGACTTTGGCCCACCAGCGCCTTCAGAGCGACAGGATTTCACTCCTCCCGCCCGTGGCCCACAAGGATCGATCAGGCTCGAGAGTTGCCGTACGCAGATGGAGTCGAGGGCTTTGGCCGTGATTTTTCGCGATGCGGTTGCGTGTTTCGTGGCATCGTTACCTCCCACCGCGCTCTGGCCCTGCGCGCCTGGGTGCTGCTGCCCGCCGGCTGCTCATCGTCGACTTCTTCGGCGTCTGAGCGTCCCTCCTTCCTCTCGGCCTCCCCCCTCCCTCCCTGCACGCTGGCCAATGCGCTAGTCGGTGCCCTCTACCTAGCTGTTCGCTGGAGCGGAGTTCGCCGCCTCGCCGCTGCCGAAAAAAAAAAGTGTCTCGCGGCGTCGGATGGCAGCGAGGACCGGTGCAGCCACGCGCCCTCCGGGCCCTGGCCAGGAGCGCGCGCACCGACCCTCCGGGGCCCCGCGTCGGCGTGCGGCGGGCGCTCCCCAGGAGCGGGACCTGGTCTGCTACAGCATGCTCCTCCGCGCCTGCAATCGCGCCGGCGACGCGCCGCAGGCGCGCGCCTGGTTCGCTCGCATGCAGGAGGACCGAGGGGCCGCCGGCGTCGCCCCCCGCCGCCGGTGCCCCGCCGCGCCGCTCGCAGGGGGGGTGGTCAGGGGAGGCGGGGCGGGGGCGGCGGCGAAGGAAAACGGCGTGGGAGGGGGAGTTGGGCAGGGAGGCAACGGCGCGCGAAAGTGGTGGAGCATATGGCCTTCGGCCCATGCCGCCACCGTGCGTGGACTGTGGGTCGGAGTCCACGGGGGTGCCTCTTGCGGTCTCTTCGGAGCGTCTTCGGGAGCCTCTCGGGGTCAGCTTGGGGGCCTCTTGGGGGGCCTCTTGGGGGCATCTTGCGGCCTCCTGGGGGCCTCTTGGGGATCTCTTGGGACCTCTTTGGGGCCTTTGGGGACCTCCAGAGGGCATCTTGAGGCCGAGGGCTCGAAATGTCCGTTCGGGTCCCCCGTCTGAGCCCCCTCTTGGAGCCGTCTTGGGGGTCTCGTGGGCCGTTATGGGCCCGCTTGGAGGCCTCTTGGGCTGTCTTGGGGCGATCTTGGGCCCTGTTCTGCGGCCTGTTGGAAGGGCTCTCTGGAGCGCTTCGAAGGGCTCTTGGGCCATCGTGGGGCCATGTTGGGCGCCTTGAGCTGCTCGTGCGGCGTTTTTCGGTGCCCCCAATGGGCCGGCCGGGCGGGCTCTCGGGGGCCTCTGGGCCCGTCTTGGGGCGAAGAAGTCATGCGGTAACGCGCCCCGGCCTCGAGGGCACGGTGGCGGGCACGTAAACTCGAATGTCTATGTATGCATATTTTTAGGTATATATAAGAATATGCATATGCCTGTATATGCACATGTGTATGCATATGCATGTGTGTATGAATATGTACGTAGATGTGCACATGTATGTATGCATGTGTGTATGCAAGTATGTTGCTATGTATGCGTGTATGCATGTATGCGTGCAAACATGTATGTATGTACGTATGTATGCATGCATGTATGCATGCATGCATGTATGTATGTATGCATGTATGTATGTATGTATACGTGTGTATGGATGTATGCATGGATGTTTGACTGTGTGTGTATGTATGTATGCAGGCCTGCATTTATGTATGCATGTGTGTGCATGTATGTGTGCATGCATGCGTGCATGTATGTATATATGTATGTATGTGTGTACGTACGTATGTATGTATGTGTGTTTGCATGTGCACATGCATGCATGAATGTGTGCACGCAACTGTTTATATATGTATGTATGTTCGTGTGTGTTTGTTTCTATATATGTATGTATGTATACGTGCATGTATGTATATGTATATGTAGATGTATATGTATATGTATACATATATGTATATGTATATGTAGATGTATATGCATACGTATATGTATATGTACATGTATATGTATATGTGTATGTATGTATACATACATGCATGCATGTATGTATGTATGTATGCATGTGTGCATGCATGACTGTGTGTAGGTGAATTGATGCATGCGTGTATATGTATGCATGTGTATGTGCATGGATGCATGCATGCACGTATGTACAGAGCGAGAGAGAGGGACAAGGGGAGAGAGAGAGAGAGAGAGAGAGAGACAAACCACGGAAAGGAGAGAGAAACACATAGTGTGGAAAAGGAAGGAATTAAGCGAAGAGGGGATGCGATGATATTAGCAGACCCGTATATATAATCAACCAAATCGTATATATATATAGAGAGAGAACCATAATCGAGAGAGAGAGAGAGGAATCTGTGACGAGTAGGAAGAGGGTAGAAGAGGAGCGGAGAGGAGAGGAGAGGAGGGGAGACGACTTTATATATATATACATAAACATATATATATATAGAGAGAGAGTTGTATATACACATATGTATACATATATGTATACATATACTGAGAGGAAGTGAAGACAGATATAGAGAGAGAGATGACAAAACAGGAGAGGAGAGAGAGGAAAAAAGAGAGAGAGAGAGAGAGACAGGGAGATAACGAGAGAGAGAGAGAGAAAGAGAGAGACATGAGAGAAAGAGATAACGAGAGGTAGGGAGAGAGCGAGAGAGAGAGAGAGGGAGAGCGAGAGCTGAGGGAGAGGAGAGGAGGGAGGCAAGCTACTCGCGCTCGCGCCATGACTTCCTGCCTCCTACCCGTCGCTTAGCATCGCTTTCCATTGCGCTGATTGCTTCTCTATCCGCCGACGCGTGTTATGGCGGACCAGGAACTCAAAAAATGGCACCACCGTGTTGTGTGTAATTGTAAACTGATAGTTGCGTACATTGGAGGAGGGGGTGGCGGATGAGCAGGAGGACACGGAGGATAATGAAGGAGGGGGATTCGTTTGGACAGGGACCATGGATACATCAATGTATGTACACATGCACATACTAATGCACATACACGTGTGTGTAGATATGATTACACTGCGGCATATCCAAACCATTTGCACCAAGTGACTTGAAGAGTTGGCCCAAACTGTAATGGATGACGACCATACAACAACTGTATTTCGTTGTCCCTCCAAGGATAGCGAGGTCTAAACTGAGTCAGCGTATGATGTCACTACGCTGGGCCCCCAGCAGCCCTCGAAACTGGAGGCACTTCTGCAGTTCACAGTCCCCTCGTGATGGGGAGGTCTAGTCTCAGTCCGCGTATGACGTCACGCGCTGGGCCCTCTAGTGCCCTTCGAATGTGGCGACATTCTCGCGGATCGCAGACCCCAGGGATGGCGAGGTCTCACCTGCGTCTGTTGAGGACGCCACTGCGCTGGGCCATCCCGAAACCATCTGGGGCTCTGAAACCCCGAATGCACATGTCCTTATCAGGAGGGGAAACAGCACACAGACACAATTAATCGTCAATTCACAGGAAAATATTGGAAACTATTGACAATGGGGCGAAGACGAACATTCAGAATATGTTGAAAAATATAGGGGATCCTGGGATTTGTGTATTTAGTTGTGTGTCCCAGGGCCCCTTGACCCTAGCCCCCTTGAAAAGGTAATCCTCGTCGTCCCTGTGGTTGTGGAGGCCCTCCGCCTGTCTCCTCTTCCTCTCCCCGGACCGAGCGAAGTCACTATCTTGGCGCAGTCGCCTCCTCATCCTGCATAAGCCAGGCGACCACAAACATGGATTAAGGGGGCGTGGATTAGCGACGGGCCCCATTTCCATGGGAAATCGTGGATTTCCGTTTCTGAACGAGGCGGCACCAGCGGCATTTCGGGGAGGGCATTTGCCCGATCGATGGATTTGGCGACCGCGCGCCAAATCCATGGATCGCTAATCCATGTTTGCGCGCCCCCGAAAAAGTACGTCGCCGCTGAAGCTCCTCGACAACCTCGTCGTTGTCGTGGTCCTGTTCCTCCTCGTTCGCCTTCTCCCTCTAGCCCCCCCCTCCTTCGTTTTCCCTGCGACCCTCTCGTCAGAGTGAGGGGGAAGAACGGTCATTCACTGTCCCTGGGTGCGTGGCTGAAGTGGGATTCCGACATGCGGATTGTTTTGTTGTTGTTGCTGTTGTTGTTGCTGGTGCTGTTGCTGTTGGTGGTGTTGTTTTTGTTGCTGCTGCTGTTGTTGAATACTCATTTCTGGAGAGTAATTATTGCTGCTCTCCGGAAACGGTTCCGCGCGCTCTCGCCTCGAAGCCAGCCACGTTTTTTTTCTGAAAACGAGGCTCCCGCGCGAGCGTTGGCGCGAGTGTGAAAGTGGGCCCTTGGACGCCCGGCTACGACGACAACGGCTCCCGCTCGATACTTGTTCACAATTTACCCCGAGACACCCTGGCCAGAGAGGCCCCCGAACTCAGGAAGACGCTCTCGCTCGAGACTTCCTCGCAAGTCACTCAAGTTGGCGGAGGCCCAGCCACGACGACAAGGGCGCCTGCTCGATATTTCCGCACGATTTACTTCGAGAGCCCCTGGCCAGGAAGGCCCCCGAACTCAGCATCGGCGCTCTCGCTCGAGACTTCCTCGCGATTCAGTCAAATTGGTGGAGCCCCAACTACGACGACAAGGGCTATCGTTCGATATTTCCTCAAGATGTATTCGCAGAGGCCCTTGCCAGAGAGACCCCCGAACTCAAGAGTGGCGCTCTCGCTCGAGCTTTTCTCGTACTTCAGGTAAGTTGGTGGAGGCCCAGACACGGCGACAAGGTTTCCTGTTTGATATGTTTCAATATGTATTCCGAGATCCCCTGGCCTGGCCAGAGAGGCCCCCGATTTCAGGAACGGCGCTCTCGCTCGAGAGTTCCTCACACTGCGGTCAATGGCCGACAAGGAAGATCTTCCCCCCGAAAGGGGGTGCGATCGAAGAAGAAGTGGGCGGTTATCGAGGGTTGGAGTATACAGAATGCAAAACACGCGTGCCAGTAAGAGCGAACAGTCTTAAAATGGTTGTTGTTGCTTTTGTTGTTGTTTATGTTGCTGTTGTTGTTGTTGCTGTTGTTGTTGTTGTTGTTGGTGTTGTTGTTGTTGTTGTTGTTGTTGTTGTTGTTGTTGTTGTTGTTGTTGTTGTTGTTATTGTTGTTGTTGTTGTCGGTAATGGTGCTGGTGTTGTTCAAATCTCATTTCTGAAGATTATTACTGTGGATCCCCCCTCACCGGTGCATACTGGTTTTTCTCAATCAAAGTGTGCCCCTCGATGCTCGCACCCTGTTTTTTGTCAGGGGAAATCTTGATGCTCAAACTGTGCCCCTGGCCCACCGGATTACAACAACAACGGCTCCCGCTTGAGACGTCCTCCAAATTTTCTCAGGACCCCCGCTCCCGCCTGAGAATTCCTGCCAATTTTCTCAGGATCGGTGCTCCCGCTTATGACTTCCTCGCAATTTAGTCAGGACCCCCGCTCCCATCTGAAACTTCCTCACAATTTACTCAGGAACGGCGCTCCCGCTTGAGACTTCCTCGCACTTGAGTCAAGACTTCTTCGCAATTCAATCAAGACCCTCGCTCCCGCCAGAGAGCCCTTCACATTTTATTCAGGCGTTGCGCTCTCGCCTGCGACTTGCATGAATGTATTCAGAAATCGCGCTTTCGACGCTCAGGAAACACGCTGCGCCAAGGACGC